CAGCATACAGGTTGAATAAGTATGGTGAAAGAATACAATCCTGTTGCACACCTTTCTTAATTTTAAACCATTCAGTGTTCCCAAGTTCTAGTTGAACAACTGCCTCTTGTTCTATGTAGAGATTCTTCATGTACTCACATTTTAGTCTGTGAGTGCCACTGAAACCTATCCACCATGGGTGACACTGCTGGTATTTAAAATACCAATGGCATAGCTTCCAGCATCAAAGCAACACACAAGCCACCACAGTAAAACAAACTGACAGACAAGTGGCAGCTACCACCCTTAATCTCTCTAAAATTGTCTTTTTTCCCTACTCTGCCTTCAAAGTTTGTCAAACTCACAGTGCAATGTTAGCTATTATTCTTAATAGTTGATTAGAGTGATCATACCAAGTAGCAAATGAGGTTTCATGGAGGGTTTATTACTATTTTAAAAAGTTTTAAACAAATTGCAATGAGAAGAGAGGGATCACTATGCATAGTTGATCTAGATCATCTGGGCTCAAAGCCGATATCCAGTTTACAAGAGTTCCTAATAAGAGTTCCCAGAATTTCCCCTCCAAGAGGATAGAGAGTCCTTGGTATATGTTTGCCTCCTAAGTCACTCTAAGAACTCTGATCCCTCCAAAGGGAAAGAATAGAGAGGAGAAGGTAAGAAAACAGGAGAAAACCTTTGTTCTGTGTCCTCATAAACCTGTACAGTGGTTGTAGTCACTTGACATTGCCAGTTAGTGAGGTGAAGTATGCTGACCCATGGCCCACTATTCCTCAGATGCATGCTCTATAGATAGTCACCAAATACTTGGTGAGAGAAAGACAAGGCTGTGTGCTCCTGTATAGATTTAAAGTCTCAGAAACGCTATATAGCTTCGCTATGAGTCAGAATCGATATGATGGCTGTGGGTTTGTTTTTGTATCATGTTGATTTTTAATAAATACACTTTGCATCAATCAAATACTGGCACTTATAAAATGAAGTGACTAGCTTAAATTGCCTTGAAACCATCAGTTAATTTTTGTTAGGCAGTGCTACAAAAAAAAAAAAAAAAGATAACATTTGATTTGTTAATACAATCAGCTATTCACACCTAGGTTCTGTATTTGTAAATGAGGATAAGAACACTGATCCAACGAAAAGAGAACAATTTTATTCCCACTGAGGCTTCAGCTCAATGTTGAGCCCACTAAATCCAAGAACTTCATTTTTCTCCTGATTCTACAAAACCATACCTACTGATTTTTTCAGAAGGCATCAAAAATTAAGAGAGCGATGCTTCTGCCAATCGTCCACCTGAATTACTTAGGGGGTCTGGAGGCATCACTCTTTCCAGGAGCCACGGTGCCAAGTCAGCGAGAGGATTACAAGCATTTTGAATCAAGTTCTCAGACCATGGTCTTCAATTATTCTTGAAGCCTGCTTATAAAACAGGGACCAAGTAAAACTTTGATATTTACATCAAGACACGACTAAGGGGCAGGTTTGCAAAATCAATTGTGCAGCTTTTATACTCTCTGCACATTTACCACATATGTCCTTTATTACACAGTGGAAAACCATTAAATGCACAGTAGTTTTGCCAAGTGGCATTATGCATTTAACAGCTTTATTCGTTTAACAGCTCCAACTCTCATTATATTTTGCCATGTGGTACACGGGATTTTATGCATTTAACAGTTTAAGAAAGCTCTACGGTATTTTCTTTTCATGTATTTCATAGTATGATTGGACATCACGTCTTAGTAATTCACTAATTTCACTGATAAGAGAGTAAGAGTAATCTGGTAAAATTATCACATTGAAACTGAAGAGAGAAACAAACATTGCAGTCCCTTGTAAGGCTCTTTGATACTCTCTACTCCTCTCCCTCTATCAATATCTGAAAAATAACTCAATGCAGGTTACTTCAGAACTACATGTAAAAATGGATTCTGGTGTGGTGCTGTGGGTTAATGTGCTGGGCTACAAAGTCAGTTTGAACGCAAGCTCACCAGTCATTCCTTGTAAACTCTATACAAGGTCGCTATGAGTCGTAACTGACTCAACAGCACTTAACAACACCGTGGTGTAAATTTGGCTAAGCCCCAAACCATTTCATCAATCTAAATATAACATTTAAGGATCACTGTCAATAGTTAATTTTTATTGAAAACTGGATTATCTTCTTGCTCAACAGAAAAGCAATATTCAGTTAAATTCCTTTCTTTATAGAACACAACAGAAGATATGTTAGGAAGATGATGGACCATTTTAACATCCACATATGTAGGAATAAAAGCATTTGCTATGGAAGGCCACAGAGGAAATCAAGCTCAGAATCAAAGAACTCTCAAAATTGTGCTTTAACTGTTTCCTCCATCCTACACCAAGTCTTTATAGGATGCAGAAGTGAGCACCTACCCATTCTAGGATTGGACAGTAGTTCCTTTAAATGCATTGAAATGGATAATAGATCCCATCAACTGTTGTCGCTTTCAGAAAAAAAAAAAAAAAAAAACAACCCAGCCTGAGCAGCTGTCAGCTTTTTTCCCTGGAGCACTGCAATCTCCCTGATCCCCTCTCAGAACATTTTTAGTGGATAAACTGCTTCCCCCCACTCCCCACCCCCCTTTAAGGATTTTCACACTTAATTCTGAACTCACCCACATGTTGTTGTTGTTTCCCTCCCTCCTGGAAAAACAACTGTATTCTATACATAAAAGAAACACCTGACATCCCAAGGTATGTCTTGGGCTTGGGAAAAGTGGTTATTATAACCATGTCAGTGAGTCCCCTGATGGGAGTAGGAGAGCTGATGATCCTTGGGTAAAACATGGTCTCAGAAAGTTGCCACTGTACACAAAGTTTGCTCAAATATCACCACTACCAATGACAACAGAAGAAACAGCAGGGGCTAAAATCAAGAAAGGAATGATTCTTTTTTGAAAGACTGTCTTTAGAAAAATGAAAGCTGGGTTTTGATTTAGTCTCTATTGTGAACTCCAGTGAGAGTAAAAGTAAATCAGAAAGCAAAAGGCAGAACATGACAGGTTCTCTAGGGGTTATTATTGTTATTATTATTATAGGAACAGATGTATTTTTATTGGTGGGAGGAGGAGAAAGGTCTCACTCCAGCCCTCGCTTTTGCTCTTTTAAAAAGCACTCACCTGACTTTTATTTGCAGCCACTTTGGCAAACAGGGCTTGAGACACCTTGGCCCTTTTCATCTCCTGTTGGATCTCGTCATAAATGGCAGCTGTGATGTTGACGTTGGCGCCATCCACCTTAATGGGGAGGTCTGTTGTCGGTGTCGAGGTTTTGGCCTACCAAGAGACCACGAAAATAATCATTTAAAAAGTGCTGCATTCAGCCCAGCCATCTGTGCAGAAATTATCAAAGGATTTCAGTCAGCTGATGCCAAACTGCATTAGCTACAGAGGGACACTTCCTGTCCATTATTCTAATCAGGTTAATTGTGATTGGAAATCATTGCATGCGTTCCTATAGGACATGCAGAGAGCCCTGTCAACCCTGATCCTTCCCTCCTAGTATCCCGAACAGTTCACAGGTAGGATGGCTAACCTGGGCACTGAACTAGAAGTGATCACTAAATTGCAAAGCAAGCGTACAGAACACACACACAGTTACCTTTTTTCTTTCTAAAAATGGCACACCTTGGAGGAAGAGCCAATTCTTCCAGAAAAAAAAAAAATGAGTAAATGGGTAGAGGTCTCTAAATAATAAATTATTACTCAATTTAATGCACTCCCCAGAGTCTCTCTTATTCTTTATTAAAGCTTACGTTGTCATTCGAGTATGTATAGTTTCCCATCATTAGCATCATTATGCTATACAGACAGTCACCTAATTTCACCTAGGAAATCAGTGGAAATGAAACAAAATTTCATTTCATAAAACTAGGCTTCAGAATGCCTTTGATGTGCCGTTTTCATTTTCTTAAACTCATATTGTGGTTTTATGTATTCTGCCGTGCTCGTTTTAATTGAATGATTTCCCATCAGCTGCAGAGACAAATGAAGGACAATGTAGAAGGTGTCTGTACTTCTTGGGGCTAGGATAACCCTAAAATGTTTGAATGTACTTGTCTCAGCATTTGCTTGGTCTGATTCCTACATGTCTACTAGGAGGGGCTGAACAGCCTTCTCAGAACCACTGTCAGGCACTCCCAGAGTGTCTGCTCTGATCCTCGGGCTCATGAGCACTGCCAGCTAAATTAGTCAGCCTGGAGTCCCAAACCAAGAGAATTGTCCCCACATCACAGGTAGAAAGGAGTCATCCAATGTTTCCTTTCTGGATACTTATTGCTACTGTTACTCAATGAATTGAGTAGTACTAGTTTTCGAGGAAGGCTTAGCATAGAGTTCTAGGGATGCAGGGATCGTTCTCAAAGGTGTCTTGAAGCTGGACTTAATGCCCTAATTTTGCAAAAACTAAAGGCCGTGATTCCCAAGAAGGCTCATAACTTTGGCTATTCACTTTCCACCCACACACCACACATGATTTTCTAACTATTGCATATGAAAAACTTATGGGGTAGAAGGTAGTGCTGCTTCAGTGTTAGAGCCCTCATTCTCCATTCCGGAGACCTGGACTTGATTCCCAGACAAGGCAGCTCACGCCTAAGCAGCAGTCAGTGGAGGTATGTGTGTTGCAATGATACTGAGCAGATTTTAGCAAAGCGCCCAGACAAAGACAGATTAGGAAGAAAGTACTGGAAATCTGCTCTGGAGAGCAGTCGGTGAAAAATCCATATAAATCTGAACCTGAGCCTGGGGATAGTGCAAGACCAGGTGGCCATTATCGTTGATGGGTTGTCATGAGTCGGGACCAACAGCAACAACATGACATCTTTTCTATCTGTCAGACACTCAAGGAAACCTTTTACTTTCGTTTTCTCATTTTGGTCTTTTTTTTTAAGGACCCAGTAAATTAGGCATTACTATTTTCACTTTACAGAAGACGAAACTGAAAAGAAAAGAGGAAACTGAACTTGCCAAGAGTATGTGACAGAACTATAACCTGAACGCAAGTCTTTCAGGTTGTAAAGCCTGGTGTTGGGGCCACTGTGCTCCAACGCCACCCCAAACACCAAGTTTTCACTAATGCTATTTTTACAAGTATCCTCTTCTCCTCTATTTGGGACCTTTGTATAATAACCCAAGTCTCCATTTTCCCCTCCAAATACCTTTTTACTTCTCAAAATTTCTAGTTAACCACAGTGTTTTTTCTATTCAATGCATATTCTAGCAAACCATTTTTGTTTTCTCAAATCTTCATTAGTCCCACTAATGGTTGCCTCTTATGTGGCTGTTCAAATCTTCCCTCGTATCCTGAAGCAAAAGAGAAACCTCTCCAGGTACTACAGTAGATGGTTAAGAGCCCAGGCTCTGAATCGGGAAAACTGAGGATCAAACCCTAGCTCTGCCACTCAGCCACATGACCATGCACAAGTCATTTAGCACAGTTAAAGCTCAGTTTCCTATTAGTAAAAAGAGGGATAAATTCACCATCCACCATCATTCATCAATTCCAACTCTCTCTCCTAGAATGGTTTGGTGGTGGTGGTGTGTGTCACCGAGTCAATTCTGACTCATGGGAACCCTGTACAGGTTTTCCAAGACTGGAAATCTTTACAGGAGCAGAAAGTCTCGTATTTCTCCTGAGGAGCAGCTGGTGGACTTGAAGGTTGGCAGATCAGTACTTATCCTATAGAGTGCCTCCAGGGCTCCTTACAGTGAGGATACCAACACAAAATGGTGAGGATTGGATTCCTGTAGAATGCTCATCACAATGACTGATTGAATAAGTGCTCAGTACATGATTTTTAAAAAAATTTTTCAATTGTTGTTTTACTATTAAGTTCACCAGTTAATATAGGCCAGTTGAAGGATTATGAGAAGAATCTCTGGGGACTTAATTCTGAATTAGAAATTTCTTCAATTTGCTTTTAAAGTAATAATAAAGTTACTAGGGCCTGGAAGATAATCTGTCTGCATCTATGAAAGGCTGACTGAGTGATTTCGGTGCTGGCTCCAATTAAAAGGCTGAGTCTAACATTCATTCTCACCATGAAGACTTTACTACATTATTATGAAATGCTGGTACCAAATTTTTAGTAAGTAGATGATCATGAAATGCTTTAAAAGATTTCAATACTTTCCATTTTCTCAACCTTTCACAAACAGAAAAAGAAGAAAGTTTCCAAGAATCTATAAATGTAGATGTTATGACTGTGTTCTCAAAATCACATGTAGATATTCTATATTTATTTTCTGAATTCTCAAAAGCATTTGTGAAATTAAATTATTAACTTGTCTCTCTTTACATCTATCCCTAAAATAGACCTTCTTCTAGGAATTTTTTGGATGACATTTTCTACTGTTTAAAAAAACACTGACCCTAACTGTTTGGCCTTAAAAGTTGACCCATCTCTGAAAGCAACCAGATCTTTACAATGGGCCTAAAATATATAGTCTTCTTAGAAAAATGTTCTAAAGGAGCTAGAAACAAAATTCATTGACCTGTGTTACTTTCTAGCACATCCCAAAACCTTTCTGAGATGCACTACCTAGTTAAATGGATATGAGGCCTGCATGGCTGAACTCTCTCTCCTAGAAAGGTTTCATGGTGGTGATGGTGGTGGTTGTGTATCGCCGAGTCAATTCTGACTCATGATAACCCTGTATAAGGTTTTCAAAGCTCTGTATCTTTATAGAAGCGGAAAGCCTCTTCTTTCTCCCATGGAACAGCTGGTACATTCGAACTGCTGACCTTGTAGTTAGCAACCCAGTTCCATAATTCAGTACACTAGAAGGGCTACTATATAATGGTTTAATGGGCTTTACATGTAGCAAAACTTCTGGTGAGTGTATAGAAATAAACAGTTTAAATTAACAACTCACCCAATTCAATAACTTAGTATGTTGTTGTGCTCCTAACTCACTATGTATGCCTCCCCTGCAAAAAAAAATTTTTTTTTTAAAAATCAGGATGTGTGGTGTGTGGCCTCAAATTCAATTCCAGTATTCATTAGGTTATGACATCTGGTGAAATCAGGGGAGCCTGGAATGGCCTCATTGTAAGTTCCCCTCCTCGCTTACTCCCATGAATAAGGCTTCCTAACCGGAAACCTCTTCTCATTGCACAAACTAACTAAACTTGCTGCTTGTCCTTTTCCTATCCCTGCCAGGCTGCAGCTTTACACCAATAAGCCAACTGCATCCTTTCACAGGAACCAGGGTGCCTTATCCTCTTGCTACTACAAAGCTTACTCTCATAGTCTCTGCTTCTTCAGTCTGGTCCCAAGTGTAATCCCCATGTGGCCCTACATGGTGTGCAGTGTATGTGCAACTAAAACGTTACTGTGACTCTCACGTGACCATGTCATGTGTCCTATGTTCTGCCATCCCTATAACCTGAGAGCAGGAATCCCTCTTTCACTAACAGGCAAAACAGGAACAGATCAAAGCAAAAGGTTTGGTTACACTTATCCAAAGTAAGCAGTTCAGAGACTTAGTTTTGGTTTAATAGTAACTAATGCTAATAATTTATGAAAGACTAAAGAGTTAAGTATCTCAAATTTGGTATTGTGTGATAGAAAATGATCTTTAAATAAAAATCCAGTGCTGAATGCAAAAGTATAAAAAGAGTTAGGGTTTATTAGAAAACATATTATTTGAGTAAGTTCAAATATTTTCATTATAGCAAAATTCCACTTGTACTGTTTAATCAGTTCCTTGGAACTTACCAGAAAACAAATTCATAATATCAAAAACTATAGCTAAAAAATATTTGAGGCCAAAGTACTCTGTTTTCAGAATTGTATAAATGTGTGTGTTGCACACACACATATTTTGAGAAAGATCCCTCAGAAGGTTCAACAATCTTAGCAACATCAGAAAGGGGGCTTTATCATAGATCTATTGAGTCGTCAAAGGTAAGGGGGAAATAGGTTGTTGTTGTTGCTATTGTTGTTATTAAGTGCCACCAAGTCAATTCTGACTCATAGCGACCCTGTATAGAGTTTCCGAGGAGCATCTGGTGAACTTGAACCACCAACCTTGTGGTTCACAGTCCAGTGCTGATCCTACAGCACCACACCAGCAGTCCTGGGGAGGGGATAGGTAGCAGGCTAAATATGAATGGGCTCAGATATGAGTTGGAAACAACCCCTATGGCCCTTGAAGTACACAGCCTTACTAGAATCACACATTTTTAGAGGACCAGAAAATAGAACACTTTTGGAACAAAGTGGTAGCGTCCTGCAAGGAGATCAATCTGTGGAAGAAAATCATCCTACCGTTACACTGGTGTCCCTGGGTGCTCTACGTAGTTAGCGTGCTCAGCTGCTAACCGAAAGGGTAAAAGTTCAAGTCCACCTGGAGGTATCTTGGAAGAAAAGTCTACTTCCAAAACCCCAGTCACGGAAAAGCCTGGAGCCCAAGTCTACTGTGACATGCTTGTCATTGCCAGGGGTCAGACCTGACTCCATGGCAACTGGCTTTCCTACTTTTCACCACTTTGAAGAGGTCACTGAGTGGTATCCCAGGCGTTCTGACATAACCATTGCATATGCAGGCTTCCACTATGCACAGGTTTCTTCCCCAATCTGTCTTTTCCAGATTGCATAAAGCAGAACTTGTCTGGCTTCAGCCCCAAATCTCACTCCTCTACCCCAAATCTTAGAGCCCTTTCTGGCTTGGAAGAATAGGACTTACCTAAAGGGACAGAAATACATATATTATAGTACAGGACAATCACTATGACAAGGTCATAGATTCATATCCTCCAACTAACATGTTCAATGGATTAAGAAAGCTGTGAACAACAGCCCTTAAATTTAAAGGGAAAACACAGAGTCAGTGAAGGCAGGATGTTTCTGAGGCAAACAGTGAACAGCCAGTGGACTGAGTATCTCACCTGGGGGGTTCGGGAGGAGCTGGGACTGCTAGCGGCTGACGAGACCATGCTCACATTGGGGTTCATGCTCCGCTCTCTCTCGTCCTGGTAAATGCGATCCCGCTCCACTTCCGGCAGATTGAGAAAATTTTGCATAGCCCTCAGATTTACTAAAAGAGACTGAGAGGCCGTCCGAGGGTCTTCTTCTTTACGCAGAATCTCAGACAATAATCCCTGATTAAATGTAAAAAGAAAAAAAACAAAAAAGAAAGGCCAAGTCATATCTGCACAGATACATGTGTGACTTCCATCTTCCATGCTATCCCCCTTTATTTGTTTGCTGTAACCAGCGGGGCTGTGGTTATCAAGAACCTCAGTCGAATTCCTTCTCAAGCAGGAAGATTTGGTGGGAGTTTATGTGTCTTCTGGGGGCTGTGCCTTATTTAGGGACCGTTCTATTCTGATACTTTATCAGTGCTGCTGAGATGCCAACTAGCAAGGTAGGCGCTTGGGAAGAATCGTGAAACTGCAATTACCACCAGGTGCCTCCTCCAAGTATTTCTGGAACTGTTAGAACTCTCTCTGCTTGAAACTGGGAACACTTGTCAGTCCTGCTCAGCTTTACAAATCTGCCAAGTTTGGTAAATTTAGTTCCGACATTTAAACAGCATGGGAGATTTACATCGATTAAAAAAAAGTTTGGCTGAATTTCTGTGTGACCGGCCACTGTTTTTCAATGTGGATGTTTCTTATGGTAAAAAAAGAAGAAAGGGAAAAAAGAAAAAAGAAAGAAAAAGATGCAAAGCAAGTGGCTACAGCTCATGTTAACCCTCTGATAATGCCTCAATCCATATATGAGCCTTAGGTGTCTACGCATACTCACCCAAGCCTTTTTAAGAGATGCTCTCTTGGAAGAAGCTCTAATCCTAGCACTAAAGCAATGCAAATGTAGTCACATCCAGTGAGGGACTGCAACAAGCTATAACTAGATTGTGCAGAGAATGCATGACAGGCTTAGATATTTTCTGAATGTGTGTAGCTCACTCAAATAGAAAGCTTGAAATGGAAATACATGGTGTTTGTATGTACTCTGATGACAGAGAACACACAAAAGAGAAAGCTGCCAAGTCCGAAGAAAAGTAATACGGACTCAAGAAACGGACTGGAGAACTAAGATAGAAACTCAGATGTAAATCCATTTCCATTCTCACTCTTGTTAAATTATCACAGGGATACTTGCTTTACATTCCCTACTAATTACCTCCCCCTCTCCCCCCATGGCACTGAGATGAGAGCTAAACATTATCCCCTTATTGTTATTAAGTGCCATTGAGTCATTTCCGACCCATAGCTACCCTGTATAGGGTTTCCAAGGATCAGCTGGTGAGCTTGAACCACTGACCTTGCAGTTCAAATAACTTTGCAGTCTGACGCATTAGCCCACAGCGCCACACCAGGACTCCATAAACATTATTCCCTAGTTAAGGCTAAAATGTTAACCCTCCATTTTAGGATGATGGGGCAATTCCAAATCATGAGCAGTCACTTCGATGAACAAATTCTATGAACAGCAGTAAAGTGGAATATAGACTCAAAAGAAGTTTCTACTGAGGGCAAAATTCATGCAAAGGAAACTATAAGATTTCTATAATATGATTTAAACATAAGAAGACATTGTTTGTAAAAAGAATAGAGCTCTGGTTGGGAGGGGAAGGTAGGCAATTTTTAAAATAAAATGATACATTGTAACACAGTGAAACAAGTGCCACTTACAGGAATGTGCATCCCACAGTTCTCAACACTCAAAGCAAGTAATCACCATTCAAAACACCACGTAAGACAACTGTATTGTAAGGAGCCTATAAGTGATTAAGCTATCTGGTAGTTCTACAAGTTACACGGTCCACTACTTTCGGGTAAGTCCTAATTCATATTTGGTTGCTGTTGTTAAGTGCTGTCAAGTCAGTTCCGACCCATAAGGATCTTGTATAGGGTTTCCGAGGAGCAACTTGTGAGCTTGAACCACTAACCTTGCAGTTCAAATGGCTTTGCAGTCTGATGCCTTAACCCACAGCGCCACACCAGGAAATACTGCTTGAGAGGGCTAGATGAATGTGTGTGTGTTTCTTGTAGGAATGTCAGGATGGGAATAAGAATATCCTAATGGTAAAATGATTAAGAAGCTCCACATTTCCCATCATGCTTTTAGAAGCAACAAATGAGACACTTTTCTTCAGAAAACATTACCCCAATTTAGATATTGATCCTCTTTCTAAAATTATAAATTGGTTCTGCCTTAGGCTATCTTATGTTCCACTTCCACTAAACATCCTGAAGTATTCAAAATGGGTTGTTTTGTTTCAAAGATAAAAATCTCCAAATTAATACATGGAGGAGCAATAGTGAAATGGATTTAAAGCATTATCAATTTCCAATAGCAATAAGACAGTTAGATTGACATTTTCAGAACCTTCTTTACTGGTGACCCCAATACATGAAAAACGAGTTTTGCTTCCTTACTCCTTTCTTACTTTCTTATAAATAACCTTGTTAGTATTTTAACATATCTTAGACTATTAAAACGCGGAGGAAGTTTAGGGTCTAAATGTATTATTTTTTTATTATATTTATTATGATTATACTTAAGATAACACAAAGAACAAATTTATAAACTTATTCTTTCTTCATTATTATCATGATGTGATAGCATTATTATCACAAGATGTTGATTATATCAAAGATCTCCCATAGAGTACAATAAAACAATAGAAACTATTGTTCTAATGGACCATATATAATACTATTCCTGCTTCATCAGTTATTTAGAAACATAGAATGTTTTTGATTATTTCTTGTTTGAAATATTTTTTTAATCATGTAGCTTCTTACTGTGTTTTTTACATGTTGAGTACCCTTACATGACATTAACCTATCTCTATGAAAACTGAAAATAAAGCTTCCTTGAAAAATGACTGCTCATCAGTATAATATTTTTAAATGATTAAGACACAATATTTATCTTTGAAGGAGCCGGTAGAACACAGTGCTGTCTCTGGCTCATTTGCCTAATTGAAGATAAAGTCTCAGACCAACAAGGTGGCCAGCACTGTCTCCATTTATTGCCCCAGAGAATTCGAACATTGTTCTAAATTATTCACTTAAACTCTCATCTGTGGAGCTTAAGGTCCCAGAGCGAATTCTTTTTACCTCAGACATTTTCAATAACAAGTGGCTAACTAGTGGCACAAAAGAGTTTCAGTTATCTTGTTGAGACTGTTTTCATTATGGTTATTTATGTGCTTTTAAAGTATTTAAACTGGGATTTAAAAAAAAATGTGGTCCAAATTCCTCGGGCTCATAAATGTAAAATGAGTTTATTTAGTTAAAAATCATCAGAGGGGAAAAAAAATCAAAAGAAATTCGCCAGCACGACGACTTACATACGCCACGAATCACCCCATCTAATTATCAAGATAAGTAAATGTTTATCATATTGAAACTGTCTTGAAAAGAACATAAATTAATAATTTATCCCACATAAGTATTTCCAAAGCCCTTGCCACTGTGTTGTCTGGCATTTTAATTATCAGCTAGCCAGGCAGGAGTGTCACTTGGACACTGCCGTTACGCCGTCTCAGATACAGAAAATGTGGGCTGGCACCTGGGCACCAAGAAAAGATGTACTTTTCTGAAAATAAAAGTCATGAATATTGAGAATGCACAAATGGAGGAAAATTAATAAATTAACCAGGATATTGCTTATTAAACTTTCATATCAGTAATCATATTAAAACATATTGCATGCAGTGAGTAAAGTGGTTGTTAAGTATTTTTCTCATCATAAGCAACAGAGCCTTCTCAAGGGACAGATTATAACAATTCCCTCCACGGTGTTACTGAGGTTATGGGAGACCAGGAAACATGTTGACTGAAAGAAGTTGAAGGAACATCTGCACAGATTAAAAAGACACCCAGCAAAGTAGCTCTTAGGGCAGAAGGCATGAAGGGAGTTGGACAAAGAGAACTACTCACTGGCCCTTGCCCTAGACAGTTAATTGCATTTACTTTATGAGCTTCATATTATTTCCTGCATCAGCACAGAATGCATGAGTATGGCAGAATATTCAATAAAGCAATTTAAAGTGCAAAGTGAGAAATAACTTAGTACAATGCCATCTAAGCTTGGTTGCTAATTTTCTCCACAAACAAAACAACAAATTTGGCTACATTTTAAAACACAAAATTTAAAAACAGATGTACTTAGTATTATCTCTAGTATTTTCAGATGATACTTACAACAAAGTAAATGTCTCTGTATTTTTTGGAATCTATAGTTTCTGTCAATGGGCTTTCTTATTTATATTGCTAGGGTTTCCATTATCTCTTCAACAATATATGCAGTTTCCCATAAATTGTTAGTGTGCACCATACACATTGACACTAAAAATGTCTGGGAAACATTACCATGACTAGTTCTATAAATTTACATCCAAGTTTCTACCCACATCCTTGAGGCCTTGACTGGAATCAATGAGATTCTCTACCTTTGGTGGCCCAGCCCAGTATCCTTTAAAAGCTACTAACCTGGGTTAGGCTTTAGAAACACTAAGCCTGAGTCCCTCTGAAAACAACAGTTAAGTCATTACTGACTGGTTCACTCTATGGCTCTCAGACCTGTCCCTGGTGGTAGTGGTGGTGGTGATGTGGTGTGGAGTCGGTTTGGACTCATAGCAACCCTGCACAGGGTTTCCAAGGCTGTAAATCTTTATGGGAGCAGCAAGCCTCATCTTTCTCCTGCAGAACAACTGGTAGTTTCTAACTGCTGACCTTGAGGTTAGCAGTCCGACTTGTAACCACTACACTACCAGAGCTCCTTCAGACCTCTCTCTCAGAATGGACTATATCTACCATTTGTGATCTTGAGGGAGGGATATTTTACAGAATGATTACTGAACACCCATCTCATGTCCATGCATGAGGACTGGGTTCCACACTAGACCAATGCACCTCAGGCTCAGCCAGCATCATGTCAGGGGGAGGCTTGTACGTTGCTAGCCTCAGGTTTCAGCAAAGCTTTGCAGACTAGGAAAAAAGGCATGGAGATCTACTTCTGAAAATCAGGGTCACAATGGCCAGATCCACAGCTGATCCTGAGCATGGCACAGGACTGAGCAGCATTAGCTCTGTTGTGACTAATGGGGTGACCATTAGTCAAGACCAACACCAAAGTGGCT